AGCAGCAAGTTAGACTGTAAAGTTACACATAACAACAACAACAACAACCGGTAAAATCACAGGAAACAGCTGATAGTTTACATGCTGACTGTAAAAAAAACAAAAATATATATATATATTTTCCAGTGTTTTGCTGTAAAAACACACTTTAAAAAAAAAGAAAACAACTGAATTTAAATCTGCAATAAAAACTATTTCCAGTTATTTTACAGTATATTTACATTTGCTGTCATTTAAAAGACTAATTATGTAGATTAGGGATTTTAAAAATGGTAAATTTATTGATAAACAGTTATGTTGTAAAATTATAAATAATATATAATAAATCACAGGAAACAACTGTTAGTTTACATGTTGACTGAAAAAAACAAAACGTGTGTTTTTACAAATATTTTTCACTCATTTATTTAAATTTTTTTTTTACATTTGACTGTAAAAATATTAAACTATTTGCTGTTATTTGATAGAAAAAAAAAGCATATTCAGAATTGATTTTTCTTCATTTTGTTAAATTACGGCATCTGTCCTCCCCCCCCGTCTCCTCCCCTCTCTTCCTCTCTTCTCCTGCCTCCTCCTTCCTCCTCCTCTTTCTCTCTCTCTCTCTGACTCCTCCTGCCTCCTCTCCCCATTTCTCCCCCTCTCTCCTCCTTCCTCCACCTCTTGCTTCCTCTTTCCTTCTGCCTCCTCCCGCCTCCTTCCTCCCCCTGCTCTCCCCCCTCGCCCTCTGCCTTCTCCCCTCCTCTCCTCCTGCTTCCCCCCGCCTCCTCCTTCCTCCTCCTTCCTCCTGCTCTCTATCTCTCTCTCTCTCTCTCGCTCTGACTCCCCCTGCCTCCTCCCCTCCTGCCTTTTCCTCTCTCGTCCTGCATCCTCTCCCCTCTTCTCCTCCTGCCTCCTCCTTCCTCCCTCTACCTCCCCCTCTCTCTCCCTGTGCTTTCTGTCACTTGTTCACAGTTGAGTGGTCATTTATATCTCAGTGACCTAAATGTGTCACATCCTTCCTCCTCTTCCAGCTCTTTCTCCCCCAGCCTTCCTTCTTCTTCTTCCTCCTCCTCCTCTTCCTCCTCCTCCTCCTCCTCCAGCCCTCTCCTCTCTCCTCCTCCTCCTCCTCGTCTCTTTGCACCCACTTAGAGACGTGTGAACTCTCTGACCGGTTATTCTGTCGTCTGCCTCCTCAGTCAATAATCAATAAAGCTGCTTTTATCAACAACTTTGCAGAAGATTTATTTGTTTTAAATCTCCATCATTGACACACAACATGAGCAGATAATTCAGCAGCACAGTTCATCATTTCAATGTGAATTAAGGCAAAAATAATTAAATTTCTGCTGCTCGGTACAAGAAGTTCTCATCTTCTGTGACTAATCTACAAAAGGAGGTTCGTCCGTCTGACGGAACAAACTCTGATTTAAGATTCATTTGCTCCTCGACTAAATCAGAATGAGTCATGCTTTTAAATGGCGATCATCTGCTGAAAATTCCTGTAATTTTTCAATATTCATTGCAGTAAAAAAAACACAAACATGACAGTGAGGGAGCTGCAGGCGTCCCGTAGATTAAACAGGTGTGCAATTAGTCAAGTTAATTAAGTTCAGTCGTCTGTTGAATGTTTTCAGACGGATTCTGTTCAGCTGACTGACGCATTAGTTTATCTTTATTAGCTGTTTTTTGTTCTCTTCTTGTTTCTGATCTCTAATGAAAGTTATCTTTGACGTGGACGTTATTTACAGTTTAAAAAAAAAAATTAAAGATAAAGATAAAGATAACTTTATTGATCCCACAGTGGGGAAAGTTCACTGTTACAACAGCTCCAAAACAATATTATATTATATATTATCTGTAATTTAACAAAACAGGAAAAGTCCTTTATATATTTAAAACTATGTTAAAAAAAAAAAAAAAAAAAAATCCCTGTCCAGTAAGCGCACACTTTGCTGATATAATACACACACAAAAAAATTAAATAAATAAAAAAATTTATGGTAGCATATTGTAAAAGAATGTAAAAATACAGGATGTTTTTGTAATGAAGATTTTATTTTTCATTTTGGCCTGTTTTTTGTTGTTTGTTTGTTTGTTTTTTAATCATATGATATTATTTGTAAGTTTACAAAACAGAAATAATCTGTTAAAAAAGTAGTTTAAAAAAAATCACAATTTTTTAATGCTTTGTATATTTCAAATTATGAAAAAAAAGTCTGTTAAAATGTCAATATTTAAAAGGCAAATTTTATAGTCACACATTGTAAAAGAATGACTCATCATTTATTTAAAAATACATATTTTTGACGTGGACTTTATTTACAGATTTTGGCCTGTTTGTTTGTTTGTTTGTTTGTTTGTTTAAATCAATGATGTTACCTGTAATTTAACAAAACAGGGAAAATCTGTAAAGTAACTGTAAACTAGTGTAAAAAAAAAAAAAAGAAGGAGGAATGAGCTGTTTATTCTTATTTATATTACAGTTAGTCTGAATAAGCAGCAGGGGTTCTGGTTCTGGTAGATCCATGTGAAGGTGACTTTAAATGAGGTCCATAGTGTTTAAATCAGCTGGAGAAGTTTTATATGTGATATTATACAGTGACAGTAGAGGATGCTGCCTTTATATAAAAAGCTTTATGAACCTTTATCACTCAGTGCTGTGAAAGTTTACAGCTACAGCTACCGACCCTCTGCATGGTTCTGATACCGTCTCCCCGACCCGACCGCCTTGCCGTCGCCTCCTTCTGGCCTCCACATCAAACTCAGCGACAGCAGCTCCTCGGTATTGATCTCACATCTCAGGAAATACCGAGAACAGACCCGACACGAGTCGAGACCGACCCAAAACGCTGACCGAGTCTCGCTGCTGTCTGGTAGGAACCTCTGCAAGTCACACTCGGAACACGAGTTTATGGGCTCAGCGACTAAATGTGAACACTTTGCATCAGAACTTTATGACGCCGACACAACTTATCACAGCAGGTTTACATCTGGACAGGTTCATGAGTACATCTGGGTTTTTATCTTGCAACCAGACCCCCCAACTGGTTGAGGCAGATATCTGCCCCCCCTGAGCCGGGCTCTGCCAGAGGTTCTGCAGCATCGGTGTCAAACTCTGGCCCGCGGGTCAAATCTGGCCCTTAGTGTCATTATATTTGGCCCATGAGATCAAATCAAATGTCTAGTAGAGCTGGCCCACATGCACCATTAGTACTACACATCCCAGAATGCTCTGCTGGTGCGTCAATGAAGACAAGCGAGCATCCCGTCTGTTGACTTTCATTAGTTAAACGACAAGACAGCAACAGAGTTAGTAAGAAATAAAAGAAGTTCTACATAAAAAAAAGCGTAGAATATATATATATATTTTTAAACTGTTGCATTATATTTACATAATAAGATAAAATGGTAACCTCATGTTACCTCAAGAACATTTAATAGCCAAATAAAAATTAGAAAACAGGAGCTTATTCATTTAATTAAAAATCAGAACGAATGCCACTGATGTGTCTTTTANCATTTAATTAAAAATCAGAACGAATGCCACTGATGTGTCTTTTATTTGAGATTTAATTTCTTGTGTGTTCATCATATTAAACTTTGTTTGTTCCAGGTTCAGGGTTTGTTTCCATATGAACAACTTTATCATTTTATATCTGGAGAGAAAGAAAACGTTCAGAATCGTCGTCTGTTTTTCAGTAACTCTGGAGTCCCACTGTTTTATTCTTTGTATCTGACAGCCGGGTTCTGCTGGGACGGTTCAGAACATCCACACAGAGCCTCAAAAAGACAGAAACAGCAGCGACTCTGTGAGGATCCAGACCATCTGAGCCTCCAGTCTGCACCACGAGCACAGAGAGGTGCTAAAAAAAAACAAGGAGAGACTGGCCGAGGAGATTCTCCATCAACACCTTTTATCTGCACAACAACCCAGCAGCAGAGCTCACTGCTGCTGAGTCACTGCTGCGTCTTCCCACCGCATGACTCAGCACCACTACCGGTCCGGTCTGGAACCAGTCGCTGCTTCTTCACCTGGTTTCTCATGTTTAAAATGAGGGAACCAGCAGCCCAGCAGACTAACGTGAAGCTAACGACCAGAGCCGTGTTCTCTGTGAGGTAGAAAGCATGACTCGGCTCTTCTCTGGGCCCAGCAGGTGTTCTTCACAGCAGTCACAGTTCACCTATTTTAAACTTTAAGTGCTGCAGGTCAACACCGAGCAGAACTCCTCCTTCCCACCTCCCGACTCAGAAGACATTTAAAACCAAAGCTTCCGGGACTCACCCAGGCAGGCGGATCCGTTCAGGTTCGGCTCGTGCCCCTCGTCGCAGACACACCCCCCTACGGGAACCATCCACTCCCCTTCGGCGTTGCAGTGCATCCGAGGCGGCGACCCTCCCTGGGTTTTGCTGTGAGGGACGCACGTTCCGCTGACGGGAACCAGAGCGGTGGGTTCGGCGCCCGAAGGCGTGGCCGGGTAGGAGGCCAGGTAGAGGCTGGTGGACGGGCAGCGGCGGTAGAAGATGGAGACGCCCATCAGGGAAACGCAGGCGCCGCTGTCCACGATGGCCAGCACGAACCTGGAAGGACACGGAGGAGGTTCAGACCCTGAGAGGAGATGAGGTGCTGGGATCGTTAACGGTTCTGATCGGCCCGTGTTATGAGGTGAAAAACCGACAATCACTGATCGGCTTCTCTCTTCAGAAGTAAACAAACACCATGAAGTTAAAATCTGTCTGCTTCAAATATGAAAACCGCCCTGATGTTGTGAGTTTTTATCAGTTTTCTTTGATTTTGAACTGAATTTAAAAGTACAAAAGTTTAAAATCTTCACATTTTCTGCACATCTGGTCATTAGCTGTCCAATATTTCCTCCTTTAATTGAAGCAGGCTGGTTTTTAGTTGCTTAGTTAGACTCTGTGCACCTTCAGAGTCCAATAAACACCATCATGTTGAAATATTTCTACTTCAAATGTAAAAACCATCCCGATATTGTGAGTTTTTTTCTTTCATCCACACTCCTCTTTCTTTTCTCTCGAACTGAATTTAAAAGTAAAACAGTTTAAAATCTTCACATTTTCTGCACATGTGGTCATTAGTTGTCCAGTATTTCCTCCTTTAATTGACTCCGGCTGGGTTTTAGTTCCTTCAGAGTTCGATTATGTTGAACAATACGTGAACTTTGGTGCCTGGAATGTGGATTTCTTTAGGCGTTGCACCACTGATTTCAATAATAAAGAACATTTATGTGCTGCGTTGTATGAAGACCTGCATAAAGAACCTGGTGGTTTGGTTTATTTTGAAGGAACATGAATCATTTTGGTGAACTGCTTGGTGCCGGTTACCCGTTTCTGGTGAGCGGGGCGAAGCTGCGGGTCTTGATGTTGATCCGGCTGTATCTGTTGGGCTGGTACTGGTGAGGCGAACTGGGCTCCACTTTGGAGAAGCTCTTGTCGGCGGCGATGGTGTCGACCTTCACCCAGCCCTCCCTGGTGTCCTTCTCCCCGCTGGACGGCTGCAGAACCAACAGAGGAGACGGACTGAGCAGAAACTCGACAGAAACCAGAGAGCGTGCGGCTGACAGGAAGGAGAACGGCGGCGGCTAACGTGGGAGGCTGACAGATGAGCGAGGGCTGAAATTATACAGAATAAATCAGGAGAAAACCAAAAGATGAAGCTGGTTTTTTTCTCAGTGGTTCAGCTCAGAGTTTGACTTCCTGAGACTCCTCATCAGGCTCTGATTTGCATCTTTAAAAAGCGTCTCGGTCCCCTGAGGAGCAGCACATTCGTCTATACAAACATCACATCCCCGTCGCCCCGCTGCGACCGAGACCGAAGTCGGGCTCAGCGGCTCGACGATCAGATCAAACAGTGAACGTTTAACCCTCTGAACTCCTTGTGTTCTCACCGAAGTCCTGCAGCTCTGTGGAAACGCAGCAGCATGAAGAAGGAGAGAGAACTCAGAGATGTCTGTCCTATATCACTGTTTCTGCAGTTTTCCACGTCCAGAGGAGTTTTGCCATATCTGGACATCCACAGATGGAACAATTTTATTTCCATTTTTCTCCTGAACCATTTGCTGCTTTTACACTGCAAATGACCCTGATGTAGGACTAATAAAGGTTTATCTTATTTATTTGACCTGAAACGTCCAACAGGGTTCCACAGATGTTACCAACATCTGGCCTCCACACACTGTAGATACTCAACTATTTACATCTTATTTCTGTTGTTTTATGGTCATTTTATGCGTCCTTGTTCTTATTTTTTGTCTCACTGATGTTCTTTCGTGTCTCATCGGGACAGTTTTGCTTCGTTTCTGTTGTGCTTCATCTCTTTCTTCTCATTTTGTGTCATTATATTTATAGAAAGAGCAACTTTTCTTTGTTTACTTTGCAAAAGTTGAAAAAAAAAACACTTGGATCAGCGTGTCCAGCAAGTGTCTGCTGGTGTAACTGATGCTGGGAAAAAATATGCTTCTATATTAATTTTAAGTCTGTTTCCTCTCCGTTCTGTGTGAACACTGCCTGCAGTTGAACCCACAAGTCGTTGAATCATCGTCACTGTTGGTCACCGCTGAGTGACTCGTGGCTTCTCAGTTCGTGTTTTACAGAATCTGTTTAATGCAAAAGGGTTTATTTTTGGTAAAATACCTCAATTTTTAAGCTTTGGTTTGATTAAGTTTCCAGACGATTAGTTCAGGGACTTTCTGTTTTTGCAGTTTCTTTCTGTGATAAATGAGGGAATCTGTTCTCAGAGACTTCACAGGGTTAAACAGATAAAACATGTGGCCAGAGTCGGTCTTTATAACAACATTGGAGAATTTCCCGCTCAGAGTGTAAAAGTGTCATTTGAGGATGTAATTAGCGGCGCTGCGGCGACAGTTATGGAGGCCGCGCTGACACATTTGTGCATTTTCTAAAGTGGAGTTTGTGCTTCACACCAGCGTGGCGAGAAGAAGCCGTCAATCTCTGCAGCAGCTTTCCTCAGTAATCAGGGCGATTATACAATTTCTGCTCGTCGGGGAGGATGAGCGGTTTAAACGGAGAGTCACCGACTAATGATTGTGTCTGCCGATGTGTCAGAGGGAAGAATTAACGCCTCTTAAATCACTTAGAGCAGGTGGAGCTTAGCCACAGATTAGCTGCCGAACATTTTAATTCACGCGCTCGCTTCATCTTGATTGATGTTGAGCAAACAAACAAAAACAATAAACAGGAAGTCTCAGGTTAAGATGAGCCACAACATGAGCTGCAGCCTTTTGTAGATACATGATGAGGTTTAACTGGGATTTAGTGGAAACCAGTGAGCTCACAAATGACTTAACTCCCACAGATTTTACTTCACTTTAACAAAGCTGCCAGAGGACCAGCTTTAGGACCCAATATATAAAACATACAGCTGTGAAATAAAGTCTTCATATAGACCATCGGGTCAGTGTTTCGTGTCCAGTGACTCCAATAACTCGGAACTTCCTACGATGGAATCATGACTTTTGGCTCTTTCATATATTCATAACAGGTCTTCTGGATGTCTGAGAACATCTGGACGGTCAAGAGTAAACCTACAGTCGACTCCAGCTGCTCCTGCTCCTCTGATCCAGTTTGAACAGAACCCTCTGATCCACTCATCAGACTCAGACACTACAGTGGGAAAGTCTGAGGAGCTCAGCAAAGACCTAAAGAAGCAAATCATTGACTGAACCAGTCAGAAAGTGACTTGGAGCCATTTCAGAGCAGCTTCAGATCCCAGAACCATCAGTTTGTCAGCATAAAGTTCATGTTGTGTTACCGTGGTGTAGTTTATAGATTTAATTTAATCAGGAAACACTTGTGAGAAAATGTTTATGTACCAGTTTCATGTGGCTTTCTTTTGTTGTTATTTTCTATAATATGATATAGTCGTAGGGATATTACTGAAAGTTTTACTTTACATGTAAAACAGATGATAAAATACTGTAGTTTTAATTAAAGTACACTTTCTGGCTTTAGTTTAAATGAGACGTGTGTTTAGTTTTGTTTTGGGGGCTTTTTAATATTTAATTAAGATTCTTACATGTGTAAAACAACAGAATCATCTTTAATACAAGATTCATTAAGTCAAGCCAAAAATTAAACCTGAGCTCCTGACAGATAAATTATTAAAACTGTATTTTGACAAACAGATATTATACCCTGATGAAAACACATCTTTGTTGTGATAACGTCTGTATTATGGTGTAAAACTACAGAACCAACCTTTATTTTCTGTGACCCCTCAATAGTTTTATTGATTTTTTAAATATATAAAAATATATTTATGGTATTTTTATACAATTTCACTTTTCAAATAAAGAGGAATTATTTATAACATTTATTTAAAAACTCTAAACTTACTTTACCAGTGTTTTTATGTTTAATATATATAAATATATTCTGATTTATTGGGGTTATGGGTTTGTATTGCTGTTGTACACTAGACTTGTAATTTGTTTATTTTTCTGATATTTTTGTGGAGTTACAGATTTTTTTTTTTACAGTGCGCCACTGGTGGTAATGCTACTGATAAGTTCAAACGTTTGTTTTCTTGAGCCAGATGTAGTTGTTTTACATCCAGATGTTCCTGAGAGTCTCTGTGGATTCTGGATATCAGTTTCTAGATGTTAGATTCTGGGTTTCGCGTCAACAAACGGCCTCCTGGGTTTATGAGAGTGAAGCTCTGTGACCTGAGAGGTGGCAGCTGACAGGAAAATGTCAAGACAGGTCTGGCAGAAGGAAGACGTTTTCCTTTTTAAAAAGATTAGAGACAGAATGAGAGCCAGGAAGTTTAAAGCCCACATGGCAGCTAGCATTCAGTGTAAACCCATCAGGCGGGTCGCGGCCTCACCTCGGCCACCCAGGTCCTCTCCAGCTCCCTCTGGGAGTCGGCCTGCTTGTAGTACAGCGTCAGCGTCTCTCTGCAGGTGGGCGACGGCGAGCGCAGGCTGGAGCAGTCGCGGACGGAGAAGCGCAGCGTGACGAAGACTCGGGGCGCCGAGTGCCGGTACAGGAAGGGCGTGGCCAGCCAGTTGTCCTGCAGCCGGGGGTTCTGGTTCACGTTGCACACCTCGAAGGTCCGGATGAGCTTCCCCCGGTCGTCCAGGACGCTGACCTCGTCCCACTGGCACACACACAAACAGCATTGTGAGCAGAGAAACACAACAGCCAGCCTGTAGACCAGGGGTGTCAAACTGAGGTCCTCGAGGGCCGCAATCCTGCATGTTTTAGATGTTTCCAACACACCTGATTCAAATGATCAGCTCATCATCAAGCTCTGCAGAAGTCTGATAACGATCCTGATCATTTGAATCAGGTGTGTTGGAAGAAGGAAACATCTAAAACATGCAGGATTGCGGCCCTCGAGGACCGGATGTCGACACCCCTGCTGTAGACGGTTAGACCTGCCGTGCTCACGCTACAGCCGACAGCCTTAAAAGCTGGTTTATGTTCTGCAGGATAAATATTGAGCGGCCTCCTGCTTTTGCCAACACAAAGTGCAGCTTTGGGATATAATAGAAGCTGTTTAGCCCTGAAAGGAGGCACGGCGACACTGAATCCACAAGTGAGCAGCTTTTGTCGCCCGTCCTCGCCGATGTAGGTCGACTCGGCGTCCCACTGCCCCACTATACGCTCTCCACCGTCTAATTAGGTGATCAATGATTATTAAAGCAGTATTTAATTAAAGCACTCGAGCCCTTCGTGGCGAGACTGGGACACGTGTCGAGAGCTGCAGACAAAACTGTAATGACCGACAGATAATTAATGCCAGCGTGTTCTCGGCCTTGTTGCTGCTTCAATACAATCCGGACAAGAGATGTTAGTTTGTGAAGCTCTGAAAAATGACACTGAATAAACTCTGGGTTTGTATGTGTGAGTCTGAACCGAAGCTCTGCTAATGTGACGACGGCAACGCGCTGATGCTTTCATATCGGCTAATTAACTCCAGACACTGTTGTTCTTCTGTCATCGTGAGACAAAGTCTGCTTTTAAACCTCTCATCTCTGGGTTTTTAAAATATATACGAATATACAGAGCTGCCTTTTCTGAGTTGTTGGAACCAAAAGAAGCGTCAGACATCTTTATGAACAATCTGTGAACCAGAGTGGACAAATTCCAAAGGTTATTAAGGTTCATTCATGGGGGGTCATGAATTTCTCTCGAGCTGTTGAGACGTTTCACTCAACGAAACTCCCACAAACACCAGGATGAATCCTAGAGGAACCGCAGACCCTTTGTTCCGGGCTTTGTGCCAATCCGTCCAGCAGATATTGAGATATTTTATCCTACAGTCAACACCAAACGTTTCGGTGTTTTTCTAAGACGCTGTTTCTCAGAGTTACAAGGACGCTTCTGAAAAGACGCGACGATGTTTCCTTCAAAGCTTTGCTCACAGAGAACAAACTGTCTGTTGTGTTGGGGTGGAGGACACGTTATGAAAGAAACGTCCTTGAACCCAAAAGCTAGCAGTTTATCAGAAGCTACGAAAAACAGAAAGAAGCGTCAGATGTTCAG